CCCAGGGACGGCCTCACCAGGGGGGAGCTCACAGGACTGGGGACACACAGGGGGCAGTCAGCCACCCCGATGGCCCCCATCGTCTCCCCCCCCAGCTGGACGCGGAGAGCGAGGTGAACAATGAGATGGCCAACAGGATGTCCCTCTTCTACGCCGAGGCCACCCCCATGCTCAAAACACTCAGCAATGCCACCACCAAATTTGTCTCGGAGGTGAGCGAGGCCAGGGGGGACCCTCGGGGTGGGGGGACCCCCCCTCCAGCCCCAGCACCATGCTGGGGTCAGGAGGGGCAATGGCAGCCGGGACCTGTTGGGTTTCAGAACAAAACCCTCCCCATTGAGGACACGACCGACTGCCTGAGCACCATGGCCTGCGTCTGCAGGGTGATGCTGGAGACCCCGTGAGTACCCCGCGTGGGGAGGGGGGGACATCTCAGTGCCAGGGTCCCTGTGCCACCCGCCCGGGCTCAGCTGGCCCCTCTCCCGGCGCAGGGAGTACCGGAGCCGCTTCACCAACACCGAGACCCTCCTCTTCTGCATGAGGGTGATGGTCGGCGTCATTATCCTCTACGACCACGTCCACCCCGTGGGGGCCTTCGCAAAGACCTCCAAGATCGATGTGAGTGGCCGTGGGGTGCGCCGGTGGGGGGTCATAGCCATCCCACTCATCCCGGTGCAGCAGTGATGCCCAGGGGTCCCTCTCCCTGGATGTCCCCTGTGGGGACATCTCTATCTAAGCTGGTCCAGAGGGGAAATCATCCCCCCCGAGCAGCGAGGAGGAGGATGGGGAGGAAGGGGAGCAGCCCCCGCAGTGCACCCCGGCTCTCACAGCCTCTCTCATTCCCCCCACCAGATGAAAGGCTGCATCAAAGTCTTGAAAGACCAACCCTCAACCAGCACCGAGGGGCTCCTGAATGCTCTGAGGTGAGCTGGGGGGGGCGGGGGACACGGGGGAGGGATGTGGGACCCCCCACTGGCGCCGTGGGATGGCAGCAGAGCGGGGCGGGGGGCCGC